TCGACCACATTCACTGGGCATCTCTCAAAAGACCATTTTCAATACCGGAAGAGAAGGTGTGAACAGGGTCTGTCCGAACCTGGAGCGGGAGATCACGGACGCTCATCAGGTGATGTGCTGACTGTTGGGGTTACGGACGGCCATGACACTTGAGATGTCTCTGGCCGATCCTGAAGAGAGATCGTCACATGTGCTGTTGGAGCTGGAATTATCGAAGACAACGTCTTGTCTTGTCTTCTTGGATTTGCTTGGAGAGCTGAAGTAGCTACAGCAGAAGCTACAGAATATCATGCAAAGAGACTCTCCTCTCCTTCTCCCCAACATCAAGCGTACAGTCCCTTCTGCCACCACAGACACCTTTCATTGGCAGTGTTGTCCTGAATTGGCCCGATAGTCGTCAGATTCAAATCCAACACTGTGGCGCTTGCACCATACGTTGGAAAAGCCGGCAATCCTGCTCCGTTCGGGTTGCTCGTCATGACAAAATTCGTGAAATACTCTTGCATGATGATAGCCAACGTGTCGTTCTTGACCGACGTACTCGGCCCATCGTAATATGTATACGCAATATCGTCGCCATGAAGACTGGGCGGAACACTGAAGATGTAATTGAACACATCGTTGTTGTAAGCGCGCGCGAGGTAGTTCGTGTTGCACGTGAAGAATGCCTCGGTGATCATCAATTCGCTTCGTCCTGTGGGCGTGGTGTACCCAATCGACCCGTCGAATACAGGCGGATATAGCGTGTAAGAGATGTATTGGACTTCGGTGTCGGTGATCGTGGGGAAGTATATGCGAAGGGTGTCTTCGAATGCAGTTTCGTTCTGGGCGAAGGGGTTCATAAACTCGAGACCTTCTAGGATGTTGTGACCAGCCATGATCCTTAGGCTTTTGTCAAATTGTCCGTGGAGAAGGAGTTGGCCGGGCAGAGCTGGTGCGAAAGCTCCGTCGACGACTGGGTTGAAGGTGAATGTGCCGTAGGGGTATGAACTGCCTACAAGCTTGTAGTTGGCGAGTTGAAGGTCCTGCGTAGACAGGGTTCTTGCCTCGTCCAGGCTGTCGACCCCTGCGATGGCCAAGAAAGAGTTGTAGATGGATTCTTGCAGTGTGGCACTGGGAGTAATTTGGAAGCCGGGACTTTGTACTATTGCTTGCTGGAAAGGTACTGGTCCTTTCAAGCCACCGAACGCGGTGATTTGGTGCAACACGCTCCCACCACCGGCTGATTCGCCAATCACTGTTACTTGATTTGGATCGCCACCGAATTTCGCGATGTGTTGCTGCACCCACTCGAGTGCCAGGCGCTGGTCGTAGAGACCTGCATTGGCTGTTCCAGATTCTTGAAATGTTGGCCCGGACAGCCAACCCTGGTGAAGCGGTTAGTAGGAACTCAACGATAGGGAACGAGGTGGGAGTTTGAACATACGAAGGCTCCAAGCCGGTAATTCAGTCCTACCCAGATGATGCCGTTAGCGCCCTGGCTTTGGCTTGCCTTAATAAGACCTGCGGCTGATGGACTGTAAAGAGTCTTGGATCCAAGGGTATATCCTCCTCCATGAATCCATACCATGCTGGTCGATTCGTCAGGTGCTTCTTACAGCGGTTTTGGATCATTGTACTTACACTGGTGCTCCTTGACCTTGCCCAGCTGTTTCGAAAATAGCTTGGGGCACCATCACATCGAGAAATAAGCAGTCTTCTGTAGCTGTAGAATCGGCTGGTGCAGTCGCTGCGAGTGGAGGTACCTGGTACCCGGCAGAGATATTGAAAGCAGCGGTACCGTTGACGACCCAGTCTGCAGTATAAGCTGTCCAGGCTGGCACCGCCTGGAAACATGTCACAGCTCTAGAACCATCGTTGAAGATCTTGGTGCCATTCGTGCTTGGAGGGACTGGCGCTGAGAAACGCAGCTGTCCAACTGGCGGTGCACCGTAACGCACATTCGAAAAGTTGTAGTACTGGCCAGACTCCTGAATGGGCTTTCAGTATCTATGTATGACTCTGAGTATGGCTGAAAGTCATCTCTTTACTCACATTGAACGTTGCCTGATGCAGCTCATAGCCAAGGTCCACTGCCGGCAGAGCGGTTGGAGCAGCGGCACTCAGGCTGCCGCCTGCAAGAAGCAAGACTATCAATCGTAACATGTTACCTGACTGTCAAAAGGAGCAACTTGAAGGCTGACACGGTAGGAAACAGCGAGCAGGCGGAGGTCGGTGGGAAGTCATCTACGCTGGTGCGAGAAGTTTTATACATATCTTGCAGCTCTCTGGGTCATGTTCCTTGACTCTGCGGTCACTCACGCATCGGCAATGGGTAAGGCGGGGTAGACAGGATGGAGACACGGAGTTCTTCCTTCCTGTTCCCATCTAGCTCCTTACAATTTCGTCGCTCCCCGCAAGTCGGCTGAGACGAAAAGCATTCAAAAATCTCGAGCCATTCCTGATCTGAGTGATTTTATGAACGATGCCGAGTATATCCAAAAGTTGGGGTATGACGCTTGACACTTCTTTGTCAGACATTGCTTCTTGGCGAGTTTCACGCTTTCTACGACCAGTATGCATGATCTTTAGTCTGTCTGACGAGTGTCAGACATGACAGCACTCTAGATCGTGATATAACACCCCTTGAACCATGGCCACCAGGCCTTCTTACGGATTCTCCATGCAAAGGTTCCCCTCCTCGATTCGCCGGTTCAACAATGACACATGTCCTTCAAATCGCGGAGGACATGATGAGCGGGGACTCCACAACACTACTTACTGCCTGGCGCACAGCGAGGATGGCCAAGTCTCCGGTGGACGAAACTAACGGGCGTCCGGTGGACTGGTGGACGTGAACACTCCCTTCCAGACTCCCCAGGTTCACAACACAGAGGAACATCCGTTCCGGGGCACCACAGGTTTCTCTTCGATGGCTAGATACACCCCGTGGTCTGGCCCACATGGCCTTAGCAGCCCCAGGTATTTAAACATGACTGTGCCCCCTTCCCAAGGACCTCCAAGATATTGTTCAGAGTCTCTTCCAACAGCAACTCTACTTCCGTCCATTCACCATCATGGCAACCCACACGCCAGACACAAAGATGGCGGTCGTCAATGTCCCCGATGATAGGGTCGAATTCGCCATCAAGGAGGGCCTGGCCGATGACGCAGCTCTCCAATTCACCCCAGCACAGGAGAAAAGAATCGTCCGTAAGATCGACCTACGTCTGGCTGTGACACTTGGAATCCTCTATTGTATCAGTCTTCTGGATCGGACCAACCTTGGCTCCGCTTCGATTGCTGGGTATGCATGGACTCTTCTACTCCCTCAACTCCTCCTTCTAAATGTCAACCAGAATGCAGAAGGGTCTGGGCATGAACGCACACAACAACGGCTATACCATTGTTTCTCTCGTCTTCTTCATCTCCTACACTGTTTTCCAAGTGCCTGCGGTTGTTCTCATCCGCACAGTCGGACCACGCAACTTTCTTACCTTCATTGTCCTGGCCTGGGGTGCAGTCATGATTGTAAGCTAAAGTGTCATGTTTCTCTGATTGCTTTCTCTAACTTTGACATACAGGGTTTCGGATTCGTTCCAAGCTGGGAAATCATGTGTGTGCTTCGAGTCATTCTGGGAGCACTTGAAGCAGGTTGTAAGTAACTCTTCTCTGGTCCTGGTCTCGCCACTGTTACTATTCTTCAGTTAGACCTGAAGGCTGACATTTTCTTCGAATGAATTCAGTCTATCCTGGATGTGTCTATCTTCTGTCCACGTGGTATCCTCGATTCGACTTGCAGAAACGCAATGCCCTGTTCTACTTGATTGGCAGCTTGGCTGGAGGTTTCGGTGGAATTTTGGCCTATGGGCTGATGCAAATGGACGGCCTCTCGGGACTTTCGGGTTGGAGATGGATCTTCATTGTAAGTCACATACCAAGTTTGATTCTCACGACCTAACTTGAATTTTCACAGATTGAGGGTCTTGTGACATGCCTGCTCGCCTTTGTCGCATACTTCCTCATTGTTGACTTCCCAGAGGACTCCCCCAAGTCCTGGAAGTTTCTCAACGAGGCTGAGGCGGCTTGGGTCGTTGCACGAATCGAAAAAGATCGCTCAGACACATTGCCTGAAAAATTCTCCGTCAGGAAGTACCTCAAAAATGCGCTGGACAGCAAAGTCTGGGCGTTTGCCTGGCTCACTATGCTGACAACGACGAACTCATATGCTATCGCTTACTTTCTGCCCATCATCCTGCTTGATGGAATGGGCTTTTCGATCGCCAAAGCACAGTGTCTGGTGGCGCCTCCATATGTTGTGGCTGCAATTGTCATGTTCATCCAAGCCTACTTCGCTGACAAATGGCGGATGCGTGGAATTGTGGTAGCTGGAAATGCTCTCTTGGGTAGGATTCTGAATCCGTCGTCCCTATCATTCGCTGACTGGCTCATCTCAGGTATTCTCGGGCTCGCTCTCCTGGGATACGTCCATAGCCCTGGCGTCCGCTATTTCGGTGTCTTCTTAGCCACCACATCAGGTAGGTTTCACCATCGCGCGCAAAGCATTACCAAGAATCTTTGGCTAACTTATGGATTCAGCCAATGCAAATTGTCCAGCTTTGCTCACCTACCAAGGGTAAGTCTCCTACAGTTGGACAATAGTGCAGCTACGCTAACCGCCGTACAGAAACAACATTCGTGGTCAATGGAAGAGAGCTCTGGCATCCGCTACACTCGTTGGAGGCGCTAGCATTGGTGGCATCATTGGAACGACCGTTTTCCGTGCCAAAGACGCTCCCAACTACCGCCCAGGTATCTTGACTTGTTTGATCGCGAATGTCCTGATCGTCATAATTGTTGTCGCACTCAGCCTCAAATTCCACCGGGCAAACAAGAGAGTGGACAATGGTGGAAAGCCAATTGAAGGACTGCAAGGATTCAAATACACCCTCTGAGAGAGTGGAACTCTGGGACGTATATCCTTGGTAGATATTTCAAACATTCACACTTCTATCCCACAATCGACCATAGGATCAGGAAAACAGGGCTTCCCGTTCGCTCAGCCGTACTTAAGCCTGATGCCGGTACGTTAGTAGTTGCGTCGGTGACGAGCAGCGAATCCGTACTGTTGATTGTTTTTGCAATTTTTTGTTAATGAGTGGATCCGTGCAATGTAGAATTTTTGCGTGGTGGCGGACGAGAAGCAGTGCAACTTCCATATGACTACGGGGCTGTGAGCAAACATCCCATCATCCTGTCAGAGTCCCTGCGAGTTCTGATAGATTGGTCTACATGAATATCGCGGAAACGTCAATATGAAGATATAGCGTCTACGAGGAGTGGTCACTGGTGGTTTGCAATGATATTGTGCGGATTCGGTCACTCTTTGGCAACCACGGGATTATTTCCAGAAGTATTGAGGTAGTTGGTTCTACGGAGAACTGAACGACAGTTCATGGGCTTGGCCCAGCTGTGGTAGGGGCAATATGAATTTGTAGATCTGGTTGAACGATGGCGCTCAGGTGCAACGGAATGTACCGAATCCCCTGAGTTGGTTAGCCTCGTCCACCGGACATAACTATGTCTCCACGTTAGCAAATTCTCGTAGCCAAGTTTCCAACTGTCCTCTTGACACTTCATTAGCTTGCAAATGGACAACTCGGTGGTGATGGCCAAGGCACTAGTTATGATGGCCACAACAACAGTTATCGCTTTCAGGCGAACCCAGCTCCACTCTACGCATCACCAGAGACCGAATGGCGAAACCCCTCAATCTAGGTTGCGTGGCCCCGAGTGCCCTGCGCCCGCACACATTGCTGTGATCGTGCGTTGATCCAGGTGTGTCTTGCGGGCTTCCCCGCGTCCTCGCTTCTGTGACATGCCTGTCCAACCCCAGCACAGAGCACGAGCCAAACATCCGGCGCCAATTTCTCATGGCGGGACTTCTCGTGAGTACTAAGTAGGCTTGAACGTTGGGCAGTCTTGGACATCTTTCAATCTTCCACCGGACTTTAGTCGACCAAACAGCTGTCATTACCTATCTGCAGTCGTCATTGGACTCATGAATCCTACGCAACGCTCGAGTAGGCTTTCATGGGCTTGTGAACGATGTCGCCGCCAGAAGCTGAAGTGTGATGTGGCAAAACCATGCACGTTATGTGTTAGAGCTGGAGCCAAATGTGAGCCTCAGTTGGCAGGCCAGGAGTCTCCTATGAAACGCAGAAGATCAACTCATTCAGATGTGGCCCGACGCATCAGAGTGACAACACCATCAACGGCTTCGAATTATGTGCAACATGATGTCCCGTATTCACCGACGAATCCAGACAGCAGCCCAATAGGTCATGTTATCCATGCCTCCGGTGGCTCCCATGTCGACGGTCCTGGCCTCGATGTGGTGGATACCACAGAGCCAAGTCCGGACGAAAGTCGACAATATGGCGCCAATGAATCAACCATGGGTTTTGCGAAATTTATACTTGGGGATGACGATGAGAGCGACTCCCCAGTCAATGGACAGATACCGGGTGACGCTCGACAGTCAAACGCAGTCTCACAATCCTTCCCCTGGATTTCGACTCGCTGGCCTTCACCGAGCGTCCTTCAAATCGCAGTAGATGCCTATTTCGATCGGGTGAATTGGTACATACTGCTCTTCCACCAGCCTTCATTCACAGTTCGTACCCAGAACATTGTCCAGCCATCTGCGTGGAGACGGGACGAGCTCTGCGAAGTGCTACTCGTAGCAGTTGTCGCAGCATTTGGGCTGAGATGTGTCCAGCATGACAAGACGTGGGAAGGACATCGTGTGTTGGAGGCTCATTCAACGACGGCTGCAGCAGTCGTTTCCGAATTGATGTCGCAGATTGGTGCGCATTTTTACGAAGTCATGCTTGAGTCACGAATCGAAGCATATCAGATCTGCATGCTACTGACAACTTACCACGTCTACTTTGGATCCTCAAACTTTGCCTGGAATGTATCGGGTGTTTCTAACCGAACGGCGTACGCGCTGGCTCTCCATTGCGACAAAGCACGAAACACTGATGAGGTTGCTCGTGAGGTGGGCAATCGCTGCTGGAACCATTTGGTTGTATCTGACCAGTTCTCAACCATGATATTCGGACGTCCGGCATCACTTGATCCTGCATTCGCTCAATTCCGGAAGCTCACAGAATTGGATGATACTGAACTCCCTAGCAGCACAGCAACGCTTCCCATTCTACAAGGAGACAACCGTCCCGTCTCGTTTCTGACCTACCACACTCACAAGTTCGCAATTTACCACATTATCCGACAGACCTTGCAGAGTTTCAGGGTCCTGCAGCTGCCGAGCCCAGCCTCTGTTCAAGACCTAAAGGCTTTCATTCATGTCGTGAATACCACTGAACTTAGGTTGAACCAGTGGCATGAGAATCTGCCGGCAGTGTTTAAGCCTTCCCAATGGTCTGCGGATGACCCATGGAGTGTTCTTGAACTTGACCAATGCACCCCAGAAGAACGAAGTGTAAGGAGGAAAATCGGTTTGCAAGGTTTTATCCTCCAGCTCTTACATGACGCTGCCAGAGTATGGGCGCATCGGCCTCTTTTGAAACTCCGAATATCTTTATCTCCCAGCCAGGACAAGGTCCCGCTTGATGACCTTCCAGACTCCTTAGGCACTTCAGTACGGGCGGCGGTGCGGATGTCAGGCATCCCAGTGAACGAGTTCGAGGGTCACGTTGCACAATCATTCGTCCTCATGCACCTTTTCACCGCTGGGATTATCCTTTGCATTGCACCAACTTGTCAACCATACAGTCAAATGGCAGGCGAAGCAAAGGCAGGGGTTCTAAAAATCATCGCAGCATGTAGAGCTATCAAGGACGACAGCAAGATCGCCAAGCATACTGATCAGATGCTGACGAGGCTTTACAAGAGAACGATGGAACGCGAGATGGAAAATGCTTTGCGAGCTTCGGATTCAGGCAGACCCAAGGACCGCATCGGCCAGACGCTTGCAGGAAGGCAATCTCAGGACAATCATGACGCCCCTCAGTCGCAGCGAAGAAACAACACGATGCCACAGGCAGCTGCCCAAGTGGACATAGAGGCTGCGACCACGGCCACGTTTCAAAGCGAGAATCCATCCGCGCTGGACTATCAACCTGCCAGTCGTGGCGATGAGTGTCCTGACGAATCCGTGGTCTCATATCTGCAGTTCGAGTCACTTCACCATGCAGACAGGATGGATTTTCATGTCGATGAACACATTGATGAAGCATATGGTGCATTTGAAGAAAGTAAGTGTGACCCAATGTTTCAGTTCATGAAAAGCGTGCTTCTACGTACAGGGAGTGTCGATGATTTGGATGGCTGCTGATACCATTGCCTCATAGTGTTCAACCTCGATTTCGGCCAATTTCCCTTCCAGCCTTAGCCTTGATCGAGCCGGTCAAGCATAATGCACAGCCACAAATGCGGCGAGCAAAAGGATAACCTAGTCAGATGTAAAGATAACTCTCCGGCCTTCTAAAATATTCGTAGATGCGGTTACGACGAAATGCTCGCTTGAATGATGCGCTCGTAGAACCCTGGGCAAAAAGAAACGTTCATGTTTCCGACGTAGCCTCGACCGCCGATTTATCGTCTTTCTGCGCGTTCTCTACCGGATTGTCACGGGCTTGTTGCTGAACGTAATGCATGGTTGCTGACCGCCCTAGATATGCTTCCCGACCAGCAGGACGACCGATGACTGTCCCTGGCTGGACTTTGGTGCGTTGTTGATACTCTTGAAATTCTTCGTCCATGCCCGATGTCGCACGGGTGGCACAACAACATTTGCACATCCAGGTCAAGATGAAACCATTGTCGCGTACATAATCGGACGCTGAATAACTGTGTTGCGGCTTCATCGTGAGCGGGAAACTCGAACCCCAGAGGTGATTGACAGAAGCATAAAGATTGTGAAGACGGTGGTGTGACTATTGCCTGGTGTTATGATGATTGACAGTCCTTGGAAAATCGCTCATATGGGTTGCGAAGATAGGGTCGTCTCTAAATACAGTAGTGATCAGGCCCCCTATACGTGCCTCGCTTAAGCTTAGAATGCCGTTGGTCCCGGGCGCCATGGCCGCTTTTACGGTGGCTTAGGGACACGTGCATAGCCTAATTAACTCACTCCTCCTCTCACTCCCTCTCGCAACATTCGTGTCATGGAGAAGCGGAAAGAACAACAATCATGCATTTTGCTCTCGAAGTCGACAATATCTGCCATCATGTAGGTGCGAATGGATCGATCGTCGTGATGATGTCCGTTGTCATGTTTCTCCCAAGTTTTCGCGGTGTAAAGTGGTCTTAAGCCCACTTTTCATTTTTCAGCCATTATTGTCGAGTTCCAGACTCTGTGTCAAGTGCCGTTAAATGAGGAATCAGAGCTGACAAAGTCATGGCTACCTCAATCGGAAGGTACCGATATCGTTACGTGGCAAGGAATATCACCTGCTGCGGTTCAATGTGTCTTGAGGCTGGACCTCGCCGTGGAGTTTTGGTGGTATGATCTGTCAGGCGCTGCAGATCAGTGATGAGTATCACACCACACGCTGTTGTGCCCAATGCGTGCACCACCATGAAGTAGCTCAGAATACAAAAGGCACTGCAACTGCCACGGCTTTCGAAGGAACATTATTCATTTACTATCAATACTAAAGAGACCTTCCTGGACTATCTGATCGGGAAACAAAGTACCAAACTACAACTCAATCACTCAAAATCATCCTCATCTCAAACATCTTATCCAAGCCTTTTCAACAACCACGAAAATGGGAGCTCTCCGAATGTTCAAACCATGGGCCGTACCCATGTCAAGACAACATCTACAACAAGCCGGCTTCTTCACCGCATTCCTCTGGCCCATGGCAGTATTCACGTGGGCTATGCAAGATCCAGCAAGTGTCAATGAAGCAAGGCTAAGAGCCGAACGGCGGCGAGCCTGGCTGGGAAAATGAAATGTTCCAATCACGAATCATAACATGCATTCGGCATGCATGAACATCAACAAGGGCTAAGGCCTATGAACACATCAAAAATCATACACCGGCGTTGAAGGGAATACTGCAGCTTGGGCCTGAGCATGGGAAGCAGAATTTTGCTGTGGAA